AATGTTATTGAATTTAACTTAAGCAACAAATTTATGAAGGTGTATGCATAATAATTATTTAAGCACATAGGTAATTTGAATTTTAATACGGTGTACAATATATAAAATAAACATTAATATAATATATATACACAGATTTTTGTAACTGCTTTTCTGCTCGTTATTTGTGCAATAATTATAATGAATAAATGATGGACGGAAAATGAATTATTTATACTACCAATTATTGAAACATATTAGTATAAAATGGTATTTCAAAATCAGATTAAGTACTATATGGTAGACGGTAGTACAGAATCCGCTAGTATTGCGTTCAGACATTCTTATAATAAGCCAATCAATGAAATGTCATCAAACTGTAATTACAGCAGAATACGGACAAACTGGGTTTATGGCCCGAGGGGATCGAGGGTATGGAAACAGGGTTTTGTATAGAATTATATACGGGATAGAGCTTATATATTTGAATAAAATATAAAAACGGTAGCATGCAATATAGATAAACATATATAATATTATATACAAAGTAGTAGTAATCATTAAAAGTATGGAAGACAGAAGCGAAATAGAATATGATGAGAACAAATTGTTTGGTAAAAGTTTTTTATTTTTTTAAAAGCATTCAAATGTCTTTTCCTCTTACTAAGTATTGTTTACTTATTGTTCACATATTTTATATTCGCGGGTAACAAACCCAATATTTTTTTATACAATCCAGTTATGAATGAAATTTAAAAATACGTAGAGTAATAAGTGGGTACCTAAGCTATATAATTATTATTTTGTACAATATCTACAAACTATAAAAAGAAAAAGAATAAGAATATTACAGCGTAGGTAGTATTAAAGTATAAAACGGATAAATATTCCGTACAAAGAGAAATATTAAATAATATTCAGACCTTTTTTTTTCTCCCGTCGATAATTTCAAACGAACCCACAAACTAAATAAAAATGTTTAAACCGTCAATACAATGAGAAACCGTATAATATAATAATCGCCGTATGACCTAGATCGAAAAATACAATTTTTTTTTTAATAATGTAGGTAATTTTATATRGTTTGCATAATTGTATGCTGTGAGTGGCACGTGAAAAGCATCTCACACTTTTATGATATCTTAGMAATTATAATGGCGACTTTAAATTGTTATGTTAAACTGTCATATTATRTTCGAGATACTGCGGTGATATGATATCGACTGTAGCAGGTATAAGCTGAAAATGACCAATTAGGTATAACTATGTGGAGACGCAGTACCGATATACGCGAGTCATAAAATATACGTATATTGTTTTATCACCGAATTCCACGCAAAAATCAAATTGCAATTTGTTTATTTATCGTATACGATAAAAAAAAAAAAAAAACTATTAGCGGATTTAGATAAATAGATTGGGACGATTGGGTTACTCCTTACATATAGCCCATATAGGTACCATCATACAGGCATTTTATTTTTTCATCCATACCTATGCACTGTATAAAATATGGTTTAAATTTAAGGCAATGATTTATTAAGTCTCGCTGTTTCGTTACTTAAAAAGTTTTATGCTTTTTATTTTAAATTATCTGATGTTCATTGCAAAACAAAATTGTTGAAAAAAATATATTATATTTATACATTTTCTAATTTTATATTCCGAAGTAGAATATTTTTTGTAGCACCTACTAATAATAAATATAATTAAGTATCTGTAAATTTAACAACCAGTTAATTAATTAATAAGGGAATAACCGTTAAAACAAATAATATTTGTCAATTATTTTTATACTAATTTCGTGTAACAATAATATGCACTATTGGAGTCTTARATCAATATAATATCACTTTCTAAAATATATGAATTAAACTACCTGACCATTAAATTTTACTAGTTTGTAAAATTAAATTACTGATAGAAAGTATTAGGGTATCCGAATATTT